ATAACTTGATATTTAGATCTAAAATAATATTTTCACACCCTAAACTTTTAAAAAAGAGAAATATCATGATTCATGGACTTATATTTTTAATTTTTTATACAAATCATAAACTTTTAATTTTTTATTTAAGTACAAATTGTTGTACCTATAATTTTGATAATTACAAAACACACACTCAAATTATTAATGTATTTAGCTAAATGTGTAGTTTATATATTACAAGATGAAAGAAGTGAATGGAATTGGATTGCGTTGAAAGATAACAAAAAATGCTAAACATGGTGTGGAAAAATGAAAATAGCCAGCTTTGGCTTTGGGAGCCGGCTCTACCATTCCAAAGTTCAAACCTACAACATGGCACGCATGGGAAATAGATGTAAAGCCAATTTTGATTCGGTAATCAACTGTGATGGAGTATTTATTTAATGCCCAACAATAAAAAATATAATATATATATTTTAAAAAAATTTCAAACATAAATTTCTAAGGTGGTTTTAGATTTTACAACTCTATAGAAAAATAGAATGTTTAGATCAAATATTGATAACTAGTTATGTAGAGCTAGTTATGTAGAACCAGCTATAAAAGTGCAACCAGTATAACAATCAAATTTTGTAGCATGTTTTCTCAAACCTAGACTTATATACAATGCAGTAAATGGATTTCAATGGTTCTAAACGACTAATTTTGACGTTAACTTTATAAATATGATTGATGAATATTTTAAAGAACCTTTAGACACATTAAAAAATTAAAAATAAAAATTGAGTTTAGATTTGTAAATTTTTTTGAGAGTTTGAATTTACACTTGTAAATTAAATATTTGAAAAATCATATAATTCGTAATCTTTCTTTCTTTATGATCTTAGAAGTCAATGAAACTCTAAGAAGAAATGCTTGAGGGTAAGTAAAACCTTCAAATGAGAATTCAAGTGAGATTTATTGAAGTGTTTTAAAAAAGGAAAGTGTTTGAGTAAAAAGTACATTAAGTATTTCTTTCTGTTGGGATAGGCCCAACAGGCCCAACACCCAAACAGGGCTGTGGGAAACAGGCCTAGGCTACCACCCATCAGCCTAAACTGAAGGAACATCAGTGCAAGCATACCCACGTGA